ACAAGAAAAAAACCACAGTTATTTACCCTAACTTATCTTCGGCTATAAGACCAGTCTCTCATTGTAAAAAATTGACAGAACTAATACCAGTTGCAACTACGTCTGTTGAGAACAATTCACAACCGACCACTTCAGGTGAATGACGATGACTTTGAGTTAAAGGGAATTGTAAACGAGCCACATTTGATAACTCAAGGAGACCTAAATGATTTGGTTCGGGATTTAAATTTGTCAAAAAAGCAGTCAGAACTATTAGGATCACGTCTAAAAGAATGGAATTTGCTACATCATAATACAAAAGTTAGCTATTTTCGAAACCGTGATCAACACTTCAGAACGTATTTTTCGCAGGATGGAGATTTGGTGTTTTGCAATAACATAAATGAGATTATCAAAATGTTGGACATAGATTTTGATCTCTCTCAGTGGCGTTTATTCATTGATTCTTCGAAAGCAAGTCTAAAAGCAGTGTTATTGCATAATGGAAATAAGCTTCCGTCTGTACCTCTGGTCCATGCTGCAAATATGAAAGAAACCTATGAAAATATGAAACTTTAACTTGAAAAAATAAATTACAGTACATATTCCTTCAAAATCTGCGGTGATCTTAAAGTTGTTGCACTATTACTTGGACTTCAGCTGGGTTATACAAAGTTTTGCTGCTTTTTATGTGAATGGGATAGCCGAGACAAAACATGGCCTACGCGTGCATCGTTAGTTCCTGGGCAAAAAAACGTAAAGTGTTTACCCCTTGTACAGCCAAATAATGTGCTTCTACCACCATTGCATATCAAATTAGGATTAATAAAAAAATTTGTGAAGGCAATGGATCGCAATGGGAGTGGATTTTAGTATCTAAAAGAAAAATTCCCTAAAATAAGTGATGCAAAGATAAAAGAGGGTATTTTTGTTGGCCCTCAAATTCGGGAGTTAATAAAAGATTCAAGATTTGAAGAAAAATTAGGCGACTTAGAAACATCTGCATGGAAGGCTTTTAAAAATGTTGTTTCAAATTTTTTGGGTAACCACAAGAGTGACAGCTACAGAGAGTTGGTTAGCGAGCTATTATTGTCATATCAAGCATTGGGTTGCAACATGTCACTTAAGATCCATTTTTTAGACTCGCACCTGGATTTTTTCCTGACAATTTAGGGGCTGTCAGCGACGAGCACAGTGAGAGGTTCCATCAGGACATTTTTAAAATGGAATAGCGGTACCAGGGCAAATGGAGCCCAAATATGTTAGCAGATTACTGCTGGACAATTAAAAGGGATCAACCAGAAGCTAAATATTCAAGAAAATCTTAGATTATTAAGTCATTTATAAAAAAAATAACTTTTGATTTACGAGATCTGTGTTTTTTCTTAATATTTTAAATTACTCAATAGAATAAAATCCTTGTCTAGCAATTTTTTTTAACTGTTTATTTTTTCTTACAATCACCAATTAAAGTAAAAAAATATCAAAAAAGTCCGTGTGACACGACAAAGTTAAAATTTTGTTGACCAGTGTTATTGATTCGAATTCTACCTGAATACTATTGTATTCTGTCGTCTCCCATAGTCAGATCTGAAAGATCCTAACGCCATCTATGAGACACTAGCTGGATACAAAAAATGCCGTCAGGTAGATAGACTGTATACTTCCAACGACTTCGTTGAAGGTTTCAAAGAAAAGGGATGAGTCAGATCGATTCAAAAGGCGAAATCGGTCGTGATTAGATAAGTTCACTTATTAGAGACATTAGAGACATTTTTCATTGGGACTTTTTACATTATTTGAGTTTTAAATATACAGTTTAATCAACTTGTTATTATTTTGTCTTTGCAACAAAGTAATCACAGAATGAAAGAATCACTCCTTAAGGTTAGTTTAATGCAAAAAATCAATTTAAAAAAATTTTACATGACACCTTTATCCACTTGTGTCTTCAATATACAAGCCCTTTCCGACTTCAGCTTGCCCAACTATTGAAATCCTAGTTTTTTTCTTATCAAACACAAATAATGAAAATGTAGCAGGGTGTTATAGGTTTAAAATATTAACAATGAATATTTTGATAATATATAGTAGAAAACACCAACTTTATCACTCCCTAATCAAATTTGCAGCATAAAAATAACACATATTGCAATTACAGCATATCAACCTATTTTCATTTCAATGCAAAATAAGACTATAACGCATAGGTGGCTGTGAAAAATAAAAGCCATGACAATTGCTTTTATTAATCACAGCTGTCAGAATACGTTTAAAATAGTTTTGGGTAGGTTTTCAAAATGGGTAGAGGAAAAGTTATTAGTGAGAAAATTCGGTTACTGATAATTAAATTTTTTAATTCTGGGAAATCAAACTCAGAAATTGCAACTTTGTTAGACTTATCGCGGTACAGTGTGAGAAATATTGTTAGAAGATATAACGTAACTGGTTCAGTTAATATTAAGCCACGATATGTGAAAAAAGTAATATCACAAATGCCGACCGAAGAGCATTAAGAAGAATAATCGTGAAAAAACAGGCGTGCCAATTATTTACAATTAAGTGCTCTGTGGAGTGACGCTGTTCGAAGGAGAATTTCGAGGTCCACAACTCATAGAGAGGCCCACAAACTGGGATTTAACACTTGCAAGTTAAGTTTTCTTATAAAAAAAAGTGAAGTAAAAACCCTAAAGTTGCACAACTTGTTTATAGGCCTAAGAAAAGTCACTATTAACTCCACTGCAGAGGAAAAATCGGCATAGGTGGGCTAAAGAACATAGGCAATGGACACCTTAACAATGGTGTGCAAGACAATGAAGTGATGAGGCCCGATTCGAAGTTTGTGTTGTGACAGTCGCAGTAAAGTTATTCGCAAAAAAAATGAAGCATTCCATGTTGACTGTCTGAAGAGAAAAGTGAAATTTCCAGCATCCATTATGGTCTGTGGCAGTATGTCATCAAAAGGAGTAGGAAAACTTCATTTTATTGATGGAAATGTGGATACAAACAAATATTTGGCAATTTTAGAAGAATCGCGTTTACCAGTGATGGAAGAATGTTTGACATCCGGCCAAGATTTTGTGTTTCAGCAAGATGGTGCAGCGTGCCATACCTCAAAAAGGGCTATAACATGGATGGAAGAAAATAATGTGCGACTTTTGAAATGGGTTTCTAGCAGTCCAGATCTGGCACCTATTGAAACTTTGTGGCACGAGATGAAAAAGGTTCTACGACAACATCCTGCTCGTACAATCACCGAGCTGAGACAAAAGCTTCAAGAAATATGGGATTGTTTTACACCAAATTTTTGCCAAAACTTGGTTAACACTATGCCCCAAAGAATTTCAGCCGTAATAAAAAATATAAAGGTGATGTTACCCAATGGTAATCTTTCAATTGTTGCTTTGTTAACTTAGCGCATTTATTTGCACATTGTTTATTTGTTCAGATGTTCTATTAGTTATAGCTCTAAGTGATTTCAAATATGTATTTTTTACGACTAGAGTGTATCTAAAATGTTTTTGAGAAAATAAATTGTTTTAGAAGTAAATAGTTTCTTCATGTTTAGTTTATAAAGGCATAATTTGCTACAAATCTTGAACTGGGCCAACTGAAGTGGGAGGGGCTCGTAGAACCTCTTTGACTAATACTGCAGACATTATATTTACAACTCCGAATAAAACGAGTGACATCAAGTTTTTCTCGATGTACACGTTACATCCAAATATAGTATCTCAATTTCTATTTTTTTCGTGATTGCAATACTTCCTCGCCCGTTTTGGCATAGGAAATGAAATGAATTTGGTAATTGAATCTGAAAAGACTGTTTGATTATACTACTATCCCATAGATGGTGCCTCAATCCCTTTTTAGTCAATTTACTGCATATTTTAATTGGGCTTAATTAAATTTGGAGAGGCGCCAAAAAGGTATTGATGCCCCAGTACAGTATATGGTGGGGTACCTTCATATAGAATACTTTAATTAATGGTTTGACTTATTTTCTAGGTACATACAAAAAACCACAGCTTTAAGCGAGTCTCCAGTGGATACTTTCTATTAGCAAAACAGCAACAAATAACTACCCCCATACATCATAATTAAAGCTTTTAACTAACTGGACCTATGTCCATTAAAAGACCAATTTAGTAATCAACAAATCAAACCCTGTATGATCTCGTCTAATGCCCCATTTGCCCATTTCTTTGAGAATTTATTCATCTATATATTTTGAAATTTTTATATCAATGAATGGAATATCCGACAGCCCACACTTCAATTCTTGCTAGAAACATTTTGAGTTTTTATATGTATTGTGGTTTTTTTTCAACGTAATGGAAAGGAAAACAAGGTTGGCACCATGGAGTTTGACCTCCAATTTGGCAAAAATTGAAACAAATTCTAATTGCGTAAAGAAATCCAGGAAGAATTTGACGTCAAAATCTAACTCGTTGGAAGCTCGGAATATAGGACTTAAGCTTTCAGTTAAACTGTGCCTAGGATTTTGGCGGGGTAGGTACTTTACCGTCCAAACTTTCAATGCAGCCTTTTTTCAAGTGAACAAGAACATGAAAATCAGAGGTATACAATTTTGATTCTTAGGCCCGTATCGTCAGTCGTCCCTACAATTGTAGGGCGCGTTTATGGCCTCCTTGATTGTCATAAGCCTTTCTATCCTTCAAAAATTTCTAGATTACACTTGTGCGGTGTCAGCGTCAGCGCTCTCCTATTATGAAGATATGTTTTCTTTTTATATTGTAGGAAATTTCAGCCTGATAAAACATGATATAACTCAAAAGCAAGCACAATTTGATGCAAATAGATGTTTGTGACATAACCTCAAAATAGAATTCTGACACGGAGAAGTAGAAAAATATGACAATCAAGGAGGCCATAAACGCGCCCTACAATTGTAGGGACGACTGACGATACGGGCCTTAGTTAAAACTAGCCTTTAAGTTGTCATTAGTAACTTGATTTATTAAGATCATCCTCTATGGTCAACATGTTTTGTTTTTCCATCACTGAACCCCGCCAAAAACAATAAAAAACAATCTTACCTCTGCGAACTTCTTCTCAGACTCATCGAACATGAGATCAGAATCACAAGCCGGTCCACAGCCTTTTCGATTATTCGGCCCACAATCAAACTTTTGCACCGCTGGATCAACTGGTGCCCTGATATCGATCTCATCTTTAGGCCCTTCTATGCACATATGTTCATGGTTGTTTGTCACAGGGAATCTCGAACAATTTAACGCGTCAGGCCAGGGAAACCCGAACCCTTGCAAAACTGGATAACATCGCGATCTGACACCTTCGCAAAGACCTCTACAAGGCCCTATCGGGTTTGATACTTTCTCCGTGCACATCGGCACGTACACAGAGCATAGAAACAGCTTCAAGTTTTGGGAACAGCCGTATTGGATCAATGGGGAAAATGATTTCAGTTGCAAGTCGGCTTCTTGCTGGATATCGTTGCCTCCAAGGTTGGGCATGCTGGTCATATTGTACCACATGAGACACATGTCGACGCGTATAGGTTCACAGGTCCTCAGAAGCGGCTCAGATGAGGACGCGGGCCACGCGAGAGCAAATAACAACAAGACGAACATATTCCGCGACCAAGCTTCGCGCGATACGATTTTAAACTGGCGAACGCCGAAGACCAAGTAACTTTCAAACTCGCGGTCGCGAGGTAAGAAGGTAGACGGCTAAGGAGATGCGGCGTTGCCAAGCTGTAGGATGCACCAACTGCATCTAGAGTGGGTGAGATTCGCATTAGTTACCACGACGTAGGTGTGATTTCTGAATGCCTATACAGAGTGTACCAGAATTAGTTAGCAATCTCTCCAATGCATAAAGGACACAAAAGATAATGCTGAGGGTCCATATAAAAAACTTTCATATACTTGAATACCATGATAGAAGAAAGTAGCATAGCACAATCGTACGCCACGGCGTCCCCAATTTTTTCAAGGACCCCTGGGCGATCATCTGTGAGAAATAAGTTTTTGTGAAACAGACCCAATTGAGAGTGGATCAAAAAATTCACAAAATTATACACAAAATCATGCTAGGCATCTAAAATTTAAGGTCTAATCAGATTCTCAGTCATTCAAGAAATATTGTCTTTCATCAGTAGCGACGGGGGTCTCTGTATCTCCGTAAGGGTGCCTTGAACGATACCCTTTTACAGGATCCTGGCGTTATTTTATTGTAAAATCGGATTTCTAACCTATTTTAGAACATTCTATAGATCCTTCAGCATGACATGTCAAAAATAATAGTCGTTATTGTATACTTATGAGAAAAATCAAGTCCTAAAATTGATGTTGATTTTTTCTTCAGATTGGCAGATAAGTTGTGTCGACTGGCAACGTTGCAGGACGATTGGAATGTTGTCGAGCCGAAAGCTTTCCGGACACGGCCGATTCCTGACGATTATTCAAATGAAGCTTTACAAGCTCTCGCTACGCTACGTTGGGACCATTCCAAAAACCAAACAAGCTATTTTAGGCAGGTTAGTTAAGTATAAAGGGCTCCATGCACTTCAAAGGGCTTGACGAAGCCAAGCGCAAATGTTTTTAATGATAGAATTGTGCTGCATTGCGTCGTAGTTACTGCATATTCTTCTTTGTTCTAAAGGTTGAATGCGGGTGTTTCACAGGGACGTGTTTTAGCTCGAAAGTTGTTTCCACAATGTTCATGAATGAACTCGCTTTCAGCACTATCTGCAGTTTTGCAGCTAACAGCTCTTTACATGAGAACATTTTGAGAGATCTTTCAGAAATAGTTGGTGAGGAATCTGGTAATGAAATAACGACCTCTCATAAATGTTGACTCGGGGAACACCTCCCAACTAGTAGTAGCTTTTGGTAAAAGAACCGTTCAGCCATAAAAGTTCTCTATTGTTGTTGCCTGAACACCAAAATGCTGGCTTAATGTTGTGTGGAATGCAAATTGGCTTTCTGCAACATATTTGCTCTACAGTGAGGTGTTTAAAATATTCTTATAGCATAGTTATTCAACACCTTATAGGGCAAATTTTTAACTGTTGCATGAACCTTTATACAACTATTTTATACAGCATATTTGCACGTTAGTCAAAATGGTTGTGTTGTGGCATCCATGGTAACGTTTATAAAACAAGCCCGAGCCTTGTTGTTTTGCTGTGCAATTTAGTACTTTAGCCAACAAATTGCTCCCAACGGAAGAACTTTACAACTGTTAAAGGCTGTACATATGCTAAATATGTTGGTATACAACTTCACCATAACCTAACTTTCTGCTGTCATATTTTTGTTAAAATGCCATAACCAATGTTTTAAGACAAACAACGCATGCATATTGGTTCAAAATGTTTTATCAACTGTTCAAACAGAAGATATAGATCTGGTACAAATTCTGGGTAAATCATTCGACTCTGTCGGTATTTTATTTCAGACATTTGTCAAATTATTGTATAACACCTGCAGGGAACACCAAAATATTCTAATAACCTAAATACAACATGGACGACGCCATGATTATACACAACCACCCGCCATATTGGGCAAACATTTATTCGTCTATTTAATATTAAATAATTATGTTTCAGTTCGAAACTACAGACTATAAAGTGATAAACATTAGTGTAATTGCGTCTAAATATAGGATTTGTGGAAGATTTAACGCAGATAAGTTCAGTTTTCCATCTTAATAATCTAGACATACTTTTGATCATTATCAAAATATGAATCAAATACGAAGCCCGTAGAAATTGGGTAACTAATTTGCACGATAATCACAATAAAATTTGCTGCGCAAGTAATTCAATAGCCCTATATCACAGTGTAGAAGTTTATCATATACCTGGGTATGAAATTCACAATGGCCGATATGTAAGTAAACAAGATGACTGTAATGTGTTAGTTATATATTCTTCTTCGTCTATACAATACATAAGAAATAGTTTGGTTGCAATAAAGTAGAATCACGTAACAGAATAATTGTATAGTTGACAAAAACTGAATCTTGCACTGACGCAAATGTCCTATAGCGGCTGCAAGAGGCTTACACTGTTGTTGTATAACTGTTACCTGCAGCCCTTATACAACCTCTTAAATGACTGAAGTGTCCTATTAGGTGTGCCCATTCCGCTTGTATAGCTGTTCTAAGAGGGTTTTGCCATTGTTCTTACAGTATACAATGCTGTTTAAGGAATACTGTATAATCATTCTTGCAACTCTAATAGGAGTGATAATTGTTAGTTGGGCTGTTTTAGATATAAGAAATGCATTTTCTCTCGCAGGAGAATGTCCCATCGCAAAAGCTTTTGAAAAGTACCTGTACCTATTTAACTTCAGATAAGATTTGACAGAATTGTTCTAATCCCACTAATCAATGACTTGGTTCCTTTTACTATCAATATACCGATGGAATTCTTCTTCGTGACTCCCCATGTTGTTAGTTTTGTAGATGGACTGGTTATGCTTCTGCTCATATACCGAGACACATATGGCCGACCACAAGGTTAGGCCCAAGTGGGGCTGCCCCCTTCCTAAGAATTCGCCTGGTCTATAAAATTTGATTTGCGTATTTAGCATGGTTAAAAAAGCCTGATATTCCACTAAGGCCCGGTTTTTCATTCGTAGGTTGCCCACGACTTCATCATCAACCATCATAGTCATAAGTTCTAATCAAATTCTACAGAAATCGATAATTTGCTATCCAAAAGAAACCATATATATATGTATATAGTTTATTCACTGAATCAAAGCAGTTACGTCACAACGTCAAATAATGACAGTGACGCACATTGTTGCCACATTAATTAAAACTACTAGATCCTAGGATGTTTTACAAAATCTACTTTATGTTTTCGGTGCCTTACCGCAACCAACATTACGAAGTGTATGTTTTGTAAACGCTAGAGCAAGTATAATTTATATTTACTACCTAATACCGCTCTTACGGACTCTGAAGGCAATAATGGAGCTCCATGACCTCGTTCGACCTCGAAATATTTCGTCAAAGAAATGACGAATTCTCTTGCTTGTCGACCCAGAGGTTCCGGTATTTTAGCAAAATGCTCAAAAGGACACCTCAAAGTTTAGAAAAAAAACTGTTTTTATGAAATAACAATGCAAATGTTGAGGTAGAAAGAACGAAAATAGAATAATAAACAACAGCCTTTGGCGTAATTACCTGACAAGCCTTGCGACAATGTCAGAACACAGAAAACTGTTACCTTTCATAAATGTGCTCGGAAAATTCAAACTATACGTACCAATTTAACATATATTTTGCATTAAGGTTGGGATTCAAATTTACTAAATATGACGTAACTGCTCTGTTTCAGTAAATAAGCTTTATGTATAAATTAGATTTTACTGTCGTTCCAGTCACCTCGAAGGCCTCTTTTGCAGTACAGATTAACGACAATGATACATAGATAAATAATATTTATTGCCCTGTTGGCCATAGGAAGTTGTGTCATAAGGCTTGAGTCTTTTAATTATTCCATGTAATTAAATTATATGGTTTATTTAAACTGAATTTGCTGGGACCAGTTTAACTGATAGTGGTATACCCTTAAACCAATTTTCTCGAAAACAGCAAACGATCTAACAGTTTTAATAAACTGTTTATTTAGATTAGGTTATTTAATTTTGTTGGAAATATAACATTTGGGAGTTTTTATTTTGATTAATAACATATTCCGGATTTCAATTAAATATCCTGAGGACACCCTATTTTTTCGATATGTTCAAGCGTGGATGACCAATTCATTAAACGATTTAAAGATATGGTCAGATTTAGTTAGTAATTTTATCCATGAAATCTGCACATTGCAGACAACGTAAAGCGGCCAAACGGTGCAGTGCTTTTATAGTCAACGCCAAACAAAGTGGCGTGCACGTCATCACGATAAAAATTCCCCGACCTAATGCCTAGGTTTCTATCACAAACAATTGCTCTATTGCAGTTTCATATTAATGTGATATATAAATTGTAAAATGGTCATTACTCTCTTATTATGGTTAATAGTCATATAAACATTGTTATTAAAATATCACATAAGTTGCTTTCTGATAAATTTAGACGCATTATGCGAAATAAAATGTTTTGCAAACGCTCCAATCACTTATCGACATGTAAACGCACTAAACCGATTTCGCAGCGTTGACACATTGCCACCTTGAAACTTATTTAAACTGGGAACTGACATTTGTATTAATTTTGACACTGAATCAATTTGTGGCATTTCAAATCTTTATAAATCCTTTGGCCCCGCATACTGTAAATCAACAACTGTTTGTTTCAAAACAAAATTATTCATTTTACGAGTAGATAAAGGCAATTTTGGTATATAAAGATGCCCAAACAGTTAAATAGTCGGTGTAAGGAACTCGTGGCCTCGTTAATGCACTACTTTGAGCAAGAAAGGGACAACAACGGGCCTTTGTTGCCTTTAAATGCTGTTCAAGAGGTAGGTTACTAATAATTATATGTAATGTATATTAATAATAGTGAAATTTTATTTCATTTTTTGTAGCGTGTTGCTGCTGCTTTAAAAATTAGTTTAAGGACAGTTAGTCGTATTTCCGAGGGTGTGAAAAGTGATGCAAAT